ATTATACATTTTAAATTATAAAATTTATGTAAATCAAATTTTAATATTTAAATTATAAATTTTATATTATAAAACTAAAACAATCTATTTTTTGAAAAAAAATATAATTAACCAGTTTAATTATATTTACATGTAAAATTTATATTATTAAAATAAGAATTATCCGATTTATGTAGAAACCAGATCATTAAAATCCGGTTTCTATAGAAACCTGATTCCGATTTTGAAAATCAGTTTTCTATAGAAACCAGATTTTAATTATCCGGTTTCTATAGAAACCGAATAATTCTGCTCCAGTTTCTTATAAATCAGATTAATATTTTTGATTTCTAATGCATTATTTGGCAGTCCGTTTTCGCTCCTTTTTAAATTTGTTCATTCCTAAGCTCCTTCTACATATTATCATATAAAATCAGCTCATTTTTATAATTTTGCCTCAAATATTTGGATTTGGATTTTGATAAAAAAATTGATAAGAATACATTAGGCAAATTTTTTTTTTTCAAGTTAATAATAAGAAAGTTAAACGTTTTTAAAACAGAATACTTTAACTTAATTTGTCCTATATATATTAAAGAAAAGCTTCTCAATTCACTTTAGATTTTGTTTGGATCTGATTTTTTACGATTTCTTAAAATAGTTTTTTTTATATAAAAAAAACTATTTTAAGAAACAATTTAAAGGCATCTCAAAGAAAGCCTTAGCCAAGTGCTATTTAATGTGCCTTAGTGAAGTGCCATTTAATGTAAATTTCTTAATAAAGAGTTGAAAAATTACACGTGACACATTAGTCGGTTCTGTGATTTGGGCGATCCCCTGTGTCTCGCTGCCGGCGAAGCAAGCGGGAGTTGGCTTAGCGGACCTAGGAGAGTTCAGAGGATGAGTACACAGCCGGCCGACAAGGAGGCGCTGTCGGAGGATTATTGCTTCGTTTGCAAGGACGGAGGCCACCTCCGCCTTTGCGATCACAAGTGAGCTCGTTCCTGTTTTTTTCTTTTTTGT